GGCTTTCTCTTCAGCTACTTTGTAGCAGAGCTGAAGAAAAAAAAAAAAAGAAGCCAGATTGCCAAGAGATCCTTGCCCATCGTCTCCCAGGATTCAAATGACCCCAACCCCAGATCTGCAGCTTCCAGTTACCTCAACCCTCTCTGTCCGTTTCATAGTCTTGGGCATGCAGTTTCCTCGGCCAGGAACCGCTTTCTGTTTTCATCCCTGCATCGTGGCTCACCTGGTTACGGTGTGTCAGCTCACAGGTTATTTCCTTAGGGAAATGTTCCCATCACCCCACAGAACAGACCAGTTGCCTCAGTATGTGCTTTCAGAGAACCACCTTCCTTTTCACTATGGAGTATTTATCTCTGTTTTAATGTGAAATTTATTCTCATTATTTTTCAAAATGTCTGTTTCCTTCTACTAGCCCACTAGTTCCATGACAGAGAGCATGGATTTGGGCTTGGTCTGAGCTGAGAATTTCCTGATAACACTTAGCAGCTAGTAGGGATTCAATAAATATGTGTGGGATGATTTGATGGATCACCCTTGTGATTCACAGCAAAGGGCTCTCAAGATGACATCAAGCTGTCCAACTTAAAGAGTCCATGCATATTTCATCTAAAGATAATATTTTTTGTCTCAGTGAAAGATTTATGAAAACCACTATGGTTTTTTTTCTCTCTCTGTCTCTCTTTTCTAAGAACAGAACAAATAAGCATATAGGGTGGAGGAGAACTGGCAGAGAAAGAGGATGCTAGAGGTCTTGAATAATGAGGAATGCTATGTGCTTATTTGTTTACAAACAGGCTCTGAATCCCCCTTTTCCACAGAAAACTGGAGGCAGGAGTGAAGTTTGACTGATTGGTATCTGTTACTCAGAATTTCAGAAAGAAGGGTCCTGGTATACTTTGTACCATAAGCACAAGCATAAGATTGTAGATGGACTGATTAGAAAATAAGGGAATCACCACCACCCTGCACTGTTTAATGCCAGTGGTAAGGGAGAGAGCCTGCCTCCATAGAGGGTATCCTGCAATTGTTGTAACAAGTTAACTTGTCCACTATCACCAACTTAAAGAAAGACTTTTGAAATCAATACAGAGCAACAATGTTGGTCTATAAAAGACCAACATGAAAGAGAGAACATGAAAGCAATGCATTGGCCCTTTTATTAAAAAATGTCATTTGTATTCAATCTGATTGACTTCATATTATTTTTTAAATAAATTCATCCAATTACTCAAGTGGATTATTCATTCATTTATTTATGCAAAATATTGACTGACCACTTCCTATATGCAGGCAGTGTCTAGGATTTTTAAGCTACCTAGTGAAGAACGAAGGAGACACATCCTTTTCTTTGTAGAACTTGCATTCTAGTAGAAGACAAATCATAAACACGAGGTAATGATTATCAGGAAAAAGAACAAATAAACCATAGCCAAAGGATATGAAATATTGGAGATGGAACAGTTTTATTTTAGATGCAATGGTAGAGGGAAGGCTTCTCTACAAATATGACTTTCAACCTCCTTTTAAACTCAACAGGAAATATACAGGCTCATGTTGCTTGTGACCCAGGGGACCCTCAGTAGTCCGACCCAATTCCATGACATTGTTTAAATCCTTCTGTTGTCCACTGGAGCACCTAACTTTCCACTCTACCCTACCTCATCCGACTTAGTGACAATGACCCTTCAACACACATCTGAACGTCAACTCCAACCTCAGCAGGCTGGGCTGATTGAAAGGGCCCTTTTTTGTGCTCACCTAGCAATGTAATGGCCAGTTTGTTTATCCACTACGCCAAGTACACACACACACACACACACACAGAAGGCAATCATGACTACAATTACTATGCATAGGTACTATGCGTAGATTATTTTATTTCCTCTTACATACTCCTATTTGCCTTATTTGGAAAATCCTGAAGAATTTTAGTAACTTTCCCAAAGTTTACACCCAGCAAGTGGCAAAGCCAATATTCAAAGCTCTAGAGTGTACATCTGTATAGCTTAGCTCTTTCTATGTGTCGGGCTACCTACCGACATAATAAAAACAGACAATGGGGGATATAAGAGTATTTGTGAAGCTCTGGAGAGCCAGTCACTCAAAAACTGGCTCTGCCCTTGAGCCTGAACTTAGCCTGCCAGGCCCGAGGTCCCCACCATGGTGACTCACGGGAGGGCCTTTTAAGGGGCAGGTATGTTTGTAAGAAACTAACGCTGCTCAGACACTTCCTGGGGAGAAGCTCAGAGAAATGAAGTGGTTTAGAGTCAGATGTGGAAGAGTGTGCCCAGAGATAAGGCATTGTGAAGCACCAGTGGCACCCCGATACGGATCATCCCCACATTCAGCTTCACTCATAATCTGAATCCATCACCTGAAATGCCTTTTTGGCTTCGCTACAACCCAAGATCCTCAAAGGCTAAACTGTAATAATTCAAGAGCAACTTTCTTTAAAGGGGAAATATGTATGATTTGGAAATGTTTGCAGAAAAATTTCTTTAGAAAGTAAGTTTAACACTTGTTTGGGAATTGGCCTTGGTAGGGAGCAGGAAAAAAAAGTCATGAAAACAGTAATCGAGCATTTCAGGAGCATTTCAGCCATTGCAGAATCCTAGGATTCACTAACTACATTTCTATCAATCAATTTCTGTCAAGCATACATTTCTGGAGTTTTATTAAGTTAAAAAAAGATGCTGAATGCCTGGCTATTTGCCTCTATCTCTGTTACTTCCTTTAAAGAGTGGAGGCGAAATTAGTCATCAGATCCTACTAATCTTTCAAACCAAGCCCCAATTTAACTACCTTTTCTGTTTGGATGAAAATGGAAAGTTCTCCTGGACATGACATGATTGCATATTTGTATTATGCAAGACACCATTTGAGTGCTAGACCTCCATACAGAGTTAAGTAATAAAAAGCAGTGAGAAAGTATGCATAATTGTGTATGCAAGCACAAATACCCAGAATTTCATCCAGTATGAAAATGATTTCCATTAGGGCTGATTAGAGAAGTTCTGAATATCCTGGAAGTAGACATTTAAGGACTCTATATTGTATATTCAATAACTCCTAAGTGAAAATTCTAGTTTAAACACATTGTAGCTAGTTACTAAGATCTAATAGGATGTGGTGAGTAAATTATGGCCTTGCAATCCTCCAACTTGATTCAAACTCAGAACTTTCACTGTCTCTTTGATCTTTGTTTGGTTTACTAATCCATTCAAGTCTCAATTTCTGCACTTACAAAAAAGATACCACTGATCAAGAGGCCCATATTCAAAACCCACCGACACAGATATGTATAGGAATTCAGAAGTTTTCACATTTAGAAATATATTAAGGTATATAAACTGTATAGTAAGTACCACCCTCAGCGGAGTTTGGGGCAGGACCCTATAATCAAATGCATTAACATTTCTCTTGAAAATATATGAACTCAGTCACAGGAATAGGATGCATTATATCTATAAATAGCCCGAAGTCAGTTCTGCTACCAGAGTTTGTACCAAGCATACAAAAACATGTTTCAGAGATTCTTGTACTTAGGACTTAAGGAAAAAGAAGTATAGATCCATTTTATATTATATTTACACACACACACACACACACACACACACACACACACACATACCAGAAAGAGGGGGGAAGGAGCTGTTATTAGAATCAAATGGGACTGCATGCACCAAGTGCTTTAAAATTGTGTTCAACACATAATAAACACTCAATATTGGCCAGAATGTGAGTTCCTGGAAGGCAGGGATCATTGTTCTGTGCATTGGCCTGCCTCCATGTGCCTAAAAGAGTGTCAGACACAAAGAAAGGGCTCAAATATTCACTGAATAATTCATGATACCTCCTCATCCAGGTTTCCTCTGTCCAAGTAGAACTGTATGAAATGAGAGAACATAATCTTTGGGGAAGCTCAGTTTTGCAAGACAATGAGGTAGAAACAGAAATGCAATCAAAAGTTCCTAATGAAACACAAAGAGGTGACTCAAGTCTTGATGATCAATTAGTATTTAGTTACCCCTCCTATTTTTCTTTTAAGTCACTACATTTGGAAATGAATAATATTGGCATGATTCACTTTCAAATCTAACTTATCAGGAAAATCAGCCATCGGCAGGCTCATCATTGGAACTATAAAGAGTTGCATCAAAATTAACAGAAGCTTATGAACAGTTCTGAGGAATAAACATGTAGTCTCCAATACCCCACAGTGAGGTGCTGGGAAGCAGGCAGCCTTTATCTGCCCAAGAAACATTTGTCTAACCTGCCACCACAAAACATATGTAAATCTGGTCTGACATGCCCATGTACAAGCGCACACACACACGACTATATTAAAATTCTGAATCTGTACATTTGATTCCATCTGACAATGAAGGAACCAGTTGCCTATTGCAAAGATTACTGAATTACGGCACAACGCACTGTTAGGTCTCTATTCCAAGAATTTCCCTTTCTCCATCCTAGGTTAACAACTGAAACAACAAACAGACCAAGGGAAAAAAAAAAAAAGAAAGAAAAACATTATCGAAAAAAGGAGAAAAATCGACCTGCAATTGGAGATACATGACTTCAAAAAAACATGAAACAAAATAATATTTTAGTATTCCAGGTGCTAGAAATTCAAACTGAGCAAAAATGTATACCTCTTCCAAGTACTAGACCCTAGAGGAAAGGTTTGGCATGCAGACTTCTGATATGAAATGAGAAAGAAAAACTTATTTGTGTATGCTTTACAACAAGTGTTATTGTATATATAACAGAGTGGAATGGGTAGGGGAGCTAAGCTTCCCCCAGAAGACCAGTTTGCCTACATCTGAAACTATTGCCGTGATATTATTCGTATTCCTATAGAAACCAATACGTACTGACAGTACTAATCTGACCTATTCTAAGAGGTAAGAGGGGCTTCAACGGCGGCAAGTCTGACGTTAAAGATCTGAAGACAAGGAATAGATCCTAACACTGGGATCTTAAAAAACAAAGCTTACCCGGCCAACAAGAATCGGTTCAGGTCCAGAAAACTCTTCCAGGACAAACATTTGATTCCAAACCCAGCCTCTTTTGGAGCGGTTCAAAATCCGCTGTTCTTCAGTTAGCCGGTTTAGTTCCAAAGGGGATCCACTCATTACAACTTGAGACCGATTCATCGGAGCCGCGTGAATGTAAGGGGGAAGAGTAATCCATAATATTATTAATGGAGTCCAGAGATCCAAGAGCATTTCCGCTAGCCGTTCTGGCATGGTCCCACCAGTTAAGCAAATCACCACGAAAATGAGACAATTATTTTTTTTGCCTCCGGTCTGCAGACATCCAATTCATCATGCAGTGAGGAGCATTTACTTACAGCTCTGCCACGTGTTTATAGCACAGGAAACAGACATCATCTAAGCAGTTTTTCTAAGACCACGATCCATTGGCTTTCTTTTTCATTGAAATTACCTGCAAAAAAAAAAAAAAAAGGAGGGTGGGGGGAGAGAGATAAAGGTCCGCTGCAACAGGACTTAAAATGAGTGCTTTTTAAAAGCACCTAAATGAACAACAGTAAGCATTTCCCCAAACTTTTGACTTAAGAAAGTAGATCTGAGGTCTCTTTCTTTCTCCCTTCCTTTCTCCATCTCTCTCTGTTTACCACTTTAAAGATGGGTTGTAGTTCACTTTGTGCTGAGCTATGCAAAGAAACTAGCCTTTAATGGGGCAAACATTTTTTTTTTAAATTTACAAATGAGAACAGGAAGGGAAATTTCCCCAGTTTTTACAGTCTTAGCTGCCACAACCCATCAGAAGGGATCTTCCAGTTTAGGGTGCAGAATGCAATTCTCTGCCAGGAGGCTAATAATGAGTGAATAAAATTAGAATGCTCCCAGAGAGAAATTCTGTAATGTCCAGCATGTATGCTATAATCAGGACAGTGTCAGGGCTCCCATTCTAAATGTACAGTTGAACAGGAGATTTAAATTATGAAAAGCTCCTTTGGGAATGAAATATGGTAAAAATACATTTTTTAATTGAGGTGATTCAGAAAGAGATGGCCCTCCCCACTACAAAAAAATCCCAATTACCTGAGGTGTCAAATACACTTTTTGCTTACCTTCAGCATGGCAAAATATGTTTCTTCCCTCTCAAAAAAAATTTTGCTTTTTAAAGAAATAATGTTCACTGCAGATCCCAGAAGGAAGCCTAGCTGAATTAGATTAAATGGGAAAATAATTCCTCAGGACACCATCAGGATAGGTTTGGCTCGGGGAATTCACAATGGGGCAGGGAACCTTTCACCGCTAGATCCCCTGTTCCATTCTGGCTCAGAATGGGAGAACAAGAACGTCACTACCATTGCTGGGCTAGTGAGTGGCCTTTGTGAGGCCAGCTGAGGGGGGACAGACCCTGATTCTGTTGCAAATGCAAGCAGTGTCTGATACAACAGGATGGCCAGCAGATCTCCCTGCTTGCCCCTTTCTGCCTGGGCTCACTTCTCTCCCTGGACTCTGCAACTCAAAAGGGACCCCGCCCTGATGAGTGCATAGGAGAGCCACTGCAAGTAGCCATTGGGTTTGGAAACTGAAGGGGAGAAAAGCTTTCAGTAGGGAACCAGCTCAGAGAAAACAGAGTCCAGACCAATGTTTTCTCCTTTCCTTAGAAATGCAGCATGCTCAAGGAATGCAAGTCTTCCTTGAAAGCAGATTTCCATTAGGATCTTCTCTCACCCTAGTGCAAGACAGACCTTTGCAGGCTTCAAATTTAAAACAAAAGTGAAAGGTCTCCATAAGAAATCCCAAAGTATTAAGATCTTCCTGAATTGCCCATCCTTTTATTGACTCAAACAGCACTGATAACAGGCCTGTTCCATGCCATGCTTTCTCCTAGACAGGGGGCCTGGAGGCAGGGAAAGAGTACTGCGGTGTGCTGTAGAATGCTTGTCATGCAGGTATATAAGCCCAGGATCGAATCCCAGCTTGCCCCACATGCTGTCTCTGTGGATTAGTTAGTGAAGTTCTCTGGGCTTCTGTTTTCTCTTCTGCAGAATGGCAATAATTCCTATGTTGCAGGCCACAGGGCGACTCAGAAACAAGACTCATGTCAAGTACACGGGAAGCCAGAAACATGGGAAGCATTCACTAAATTGTGGATCCTTGGTTTTGTTGAGCCAGAGTATCAGGTGGTGGTGACGTGGACCTTGCCCTCGAAAGGCTTTGGTTAGAAAATCAAATGAACGAGCATAGAGTGAAGCTATATGGCCTCGACAGCAGGAGTAGGTAAGGGATAAGAGCAACATAAAGTCCCCCCAAAACCTTCCCTAAGGCGGAATGTGGGGGGATGAAAGTGATTCCGGGGAGGGAGGACTGGGCTATATAAAACAGGGAGGTGGGACTCCTTCCAGTCAGGGAGCCTCAGCCTAAACACTTCTCATGGTAAATGGACATGTTCTCTCCTGCTCTATGACAGGCTATATGTGAATGTCCAAAAGCCATAAATGCTGGTTTCCATCAGTCAGTGCAATGGAGGTGACAATGCTGCGATGCTTGAGGGATGTTCCTCTAGCACCCACCTGCTGGTTTGAATTCTAGTTACAGAACTACACTTCCCAGGTGTGTAACTGGGGTCCAAATGAGAACATCAGCAAATATGGTAGGCACCTATCTACAGGCTTATGTTAAGGATTAAAAGAGATCATCTTGAAAAAGCAATTAGAAGAAGCCAGAGGATTCAGTTGTTTTTAAATTGTGGCAAATACCCTGCAAGTGTACCTTGGCATCTGCCCTACGGTTAATGATTCTGGGATAAGGAAGTTTTAATTCCCATTAAAACTCATAAGGGACACTTCCTTGACGGAAGCCATCAAGGGCCCCTCAGGATGGATTGTGAGATGATAGGCACCCGATCCGAACTTGTCAGAATTAGGTAAAAAGTGATAACAGACCTTGAAATAATTTTATACAATGATGTAACTTCATTAGTTAGAAAGAATGGAATAAATAAAATATATGCATAGCCAAAAATAGTATCCGTTAACACAGCATCTTACAGTTAGATAAAGCTCACTATGCTTGCACTATTTTATTTGACACAGCATAATTAAATGACTTGCCTGAGGAGTGCCTTCAATAAGGAGCAGACCACTATTTGAATGTAGGCAATCTAATTCTAAAATTCTCTTAACACAATCCCTTCTCTCATTACATCAAGACTTGATGAGTATATACAGTGTGTCAGGTACTGGGAATAGAAAAGCAAAGAGGTCAGCGCTCTCATCTTCAAGAAGCAAAGAGGCTAATGGGTAAAAGCTAAAAGGGACGCAGGTGATACAGAGTGATGGGAATGCCACTCCACTTGGCAGCATTAAAGACTTCCTGGAGGAAGTATCATCTAAATGTCAAGAAGGAATTACCCAACTGGGGAGAGGGTAGGTGTGAAAGGACATTTAAGTCAAGCAATAGATAGGAACAAGACTACCAACTAATCCAGGAGTCATGAATAGGCACCTAGGGTAGTTTTCAAACCATTGCTTCAAGAGCATCCAATCCAATGTCACAGCGTGTTCTTCCTATGCACTGTACATTCCTAATCATGGTCTCCACAGAGTACATGTCAAAGGTGTGTTCTCTTCTCTGCCAGTTCTTTGTGAAGAGAAAAGCATGCTTGATTTCTCCAAAGCTTTGGGCAACAAAAATACATGCCATGGGAGAGGATATGGGAGACAGGTAAGTTCTATTCCAATCCAACTTCCCAATTTTCAGAGAAAGGGGGAGTGACTTAGTCAGTGTCCTTTACTTGGTGGCAGAGCTCCAGGGAGAGATTGGCCCAGCTCCGTGGAAACACTTCTTCATCCACATGGGTCATTTGCACACTCCTCTCTGTACAGAGCTTCTAGCACTGGAGAGACTCATATAACTGCTTAGACTGTGCCAAATTTTTAAATCACTTTTACTTTATATTTTATTGAAAACAGGCTCAGTTTTTAAAAAATTTATTTTAAAAATGGAAAACCACTATTATTTGCCACAAAAAGGATTAATGGTGAACACTTAGGAAGTGTTTGAACAATATTAAATCATCAAGGACTGTACATACTATATGTATGTATATGGTAAGTCATCAAGAAAGACTATATACAAATGTGTATATACACACTTTACATATACACAGACCACAGATATATATGTATTTGTATTTACTCAAGAGAACTCTATGATGGAAACATTATTACTTGATTATCTTCAGTCCCATTTTAGAAGTAGGCAAACTGAAACACAGAGTTGTTATTTTAAATAATGTTTTATCTTCACTTAAGTAGGTACTGTCAAAGTCTGAGATCCTCTCTGTCTGTGTGAAACAGGAAGACCAACAACAGTTAAAAGCAAGGTGTGCTGTTAAATATTTAACAAGTTGCAATCAGAAAGAAGAAAAAAACAACCTGATTTCTGATTTCCATAATATAAATATTTCTACCAATTTCAAGCTTTCAATGTGACCATTAACCAGCTCTGGCAGTTCCTGAAAATTTAACAATCAACACTGGTTAGCCCAGTAAGTCAACTCCAGGACACCACTGGTACAGGGCGGAAGGTGGAGTGTGGGGAGGGGGGGTACCAGAGAGAATACTTCTCAAACCTTAATATGCATGCACATCACCTGGAAATCTTGTTAAATGCAAACTATGATCCAGTAAATCCAGGGTGAGGCTTGAGACTGTGCATTGCTAAGGATGCTACCGATTTGAAGACCACAGTTCAAGACAGTAAGCCTGCCTCCCGACTCAGACCCTCTCCTTAAGGTGACTTGAAGGATTCGTCGGTGTGGTGGGAAGGTCAGCTTCCTCCTCAGTTTCAGTTAACACCACGCCCATGCACACCTTACCGTCACTGTGCATACAGGAGTAACACATACGTATCGGATTTGGGGAAACCCTGCTCTGGAGGGTGTGAATGTAGGGGATTTTGTATGAAGTCTTAATATACTTGCCCCACCCCACATATACTTTATGGGTGACACTAGGAGAAATGCCTCACTGACTGGTATGTGCATGTACACCTTCACTTCAGCAAAGTCTGACACTTGGAAAGAAATGGGATTCTACTGTGACAATTAGAACCATACTATTAATAGGCTTGCACCTCTGCCACTGACAGAGCTAAAGTTTTTTCTGACGATCAGGAAATAGCTTTATAGGAATTCTTGAGATGCAACAGAATGCTATGTCACTGTTATCAGAATTAATAAACATTGTGATAGTATCTGCATACACAAACTGCTTAAGTCTATGTAAAGAAGAAGAAATTGAGCAAGGTTGTAAAGCTTGGGTAAAAATCAATTTACTTTTAGATTTTCCAACCACAGTATGTATATCTGACCAAGCAATCCACTTTATTATAATGTTGCTGCATTGATTTACACCCAGAGAGTGAGATGAAGAGATTTTACAATCTTTCTGGAATTCTTACAAG